AATTTAAAAAGCCAGAAATGAGGGCATGTATAGTGCCATTTGCAAGCTGAGTGAGAACAGGCCTGGAGTTATAGCCCCAGAACTGGTACACTCTAACTATATATATATAGCAATGTGTGTGAATATATATATATATATATATATATTAAATGAGTATATATGAATAAGGAAATGAAGTAAAAATAAGATATAAGCCTCAGTTTTCATTATTGAATCTGTCAAACTATAAGATTATTTCTCAAATTTCTGTAGTTTCTAAATGCTTGCTCCTAACTTCTATCTCATTGTATTTATTTATTGACTAACACTAGTCCATGAACTAAATTTTAAGTATCTCCACTCTAGATTTCAGAAACATGTTTATGAATGTTAACATAGACATATGAGGGGCTGGGAAGGTGGCTAGTGGTAGAGTGCTTGCCTTGCATGCCTGAGGCCCTGGGTTCGATTCCTCAGCACCACATAAGCAAAAAGAAAAAAGCCGGAAGTGGCACTGTGGCTCAAGTGGTAGAGCTGAGGGACAGCGCCCAGGCCCAGAGTTTAGAGTTCAGGCCCCACGACCAGACCCCCCCACACCCCGAAAAAAAGACATATGAAGCTGGAATGGGGTTCATGCTAATAACCCCAGCAATCAGGAGGCAGGAGCAGGGGGATCAAAAAAGTTCAAAGCTGGCCTGGAGTGACTCATACCTATAATTCTAGCTACTCAAGAGGCTGAGATCAGAGGATTCAAGTTCAAAGCAAATGTTGGCAGACAAATCTGTGAGACTTTTCTTCAATTAACTGCCAAAAAGCTGAAAGTGGAGGTGTGGCTCAAATGATGGAGCACTGAATTTGAGCAAAAAACTCAGGGACAGGACCCAGGTCCTGAGTTCAAGCTCCAGACCTGGCACTTAAATGTATGGTAGGGATATAGTAGCAGTAGCTTACCAGTGTGCATAAATTGCTGGGTTTGATTCCTAGCATAACAAAAAATATGCAAATTTGACATATGAAAGAGAAGGCTTTGTGGCTAGGCAGAAGAAATGTCCTCTGATACCTCAGTCCAGTGGCTCTTCATTGTAGAACTTATCCAAGTATGAGAAGAAACTGAAATTCTGTGTACTGATAACAATCTAAACACTGCTTAATATAAAACACAACTAAATTGCCCTTTCAACATTTGTGGGTACCTGTAGTGGTCCCCCTCATCCATAAGAGACATGTTCCAAGACCCCAGGTGGACGCCTGAAACCACACATGGTACCAAACCCTAAATACATAGCTTTTTTTTTTTGTCCAGTCGTGGGGCCTGAACTCTGGGCCTGGGCGCTGTCCCTCAGCTCTTCAGCTCAAGGCTAGCGCTCTACCACTTGAGCCACAGCGCCACTTTCACCTTTTTTTCTTTTTGCTTATGTGGGGCTGAGGAATCGAACCCAGGGCCTTGTGCATGCAAGGCAAATGCTCTACCACTGAGCCACCTTCCCAGCCCCGATAGCTTTTTCTTATACAGACATACCTATGATATAGTTTGGTTCACAATATAATCAGGAACAGTAAGAGGCACAAAAACTAATAATAAAATAGAAAAATGGTAAGAATATACTGAGTCATTCAATTTTGCCCTCCAATTCCCAATTATACTGTGTTCTTCCTTTCTGTGATGGCCTGCATGATCAGGTAAAGTGGGGAATGGGGGGTAGGTAGGCATTGGGAGGTAGTGTAGTAGTTAGTAGTCTACTATATAGAACTACTTGAACACAGGCACAATACCATGATAATTGATTTTTTAATTAATGTATTAATGCCACTGGGATTTGAACTCAGGGCCTTGAGTACTGCTGGCTTGCATGTTCATGGCTGGAACACTACTACTTAACCATCCCTCCAGCCTTGCTCTTTGCTGGTTAATTGAAGTCTGTCCAGGCTGGCTGCAAACCACCATCCTCCTTGTCTCAGCCTCCTAAGTAGGTATGCAGGTATGAGTCATTGACACCCAATGACAGTTTACAGTGAACTTAAAGTAGATAAGTGGTGATTTATGTCCAGGGTAAGATGGAGAGCACAGAGTAAGATTTCTCCATGCTACACAGAGCATCACACAATTAAAAACTTGGGCCTGACACCAGTGGCTCACATGTTTAACGACTCAGGAAGCTGAGATCTGAAGATCAAGATTCAAATCCAGTGTGGGCAGCAAAATTCTGGGACTCTTATCTCCAATTGATCACCAAAAATCCAGAAGTAGAGGTGTGGCTCAAGTTGTAAACCACCATTCCTGAGCAAAAATATCTCAAGGACAATTCCAGGCCCTGAATTCAAGCCCCAATACTTAGCATACACACACACAAAACAGCAAAAACAAAAAACTTGGAATGTATTTCTATTTTCTTTGCTGCTGCTGCTTCTTCCTCTTCCTCTTCCTCCTCCTCCTTCTCCTCTTGAGCTGTTAATAGGGCTTGAACTCAGGGCCTTGTGCTCTCACTCAGCATTTTTTCTCAGAGTGCTCTACCACTTGAACCACCTCTCCACCTTCACTTATTTCTCAGTTTTCTATTTTTTGGACTAAAATCAGAAAGAATGAAATCAGTAATTTCTTTTCTTTTTAGCAGTGCTAATGGTTGTACCTAGAGCTGTGTGCATACTGGGAAAGTGCTCCATCCCTGAGTTACACCTTGGCCACTTAGTGACTTTTAGAATGATGTCATGGTTCTCTACAAGATATTTCAAATAATCTTAACAGATTTGTAGTCATGAGGTCAATATGGAAGGAAGTGAGGATCCAGAGACACTTGTAGAGCATTTGGGCAAGGCACATGAGAAACAAATCACCTATCAAGCTGCATCAGCCAGACTCTTATTTCCAACTAACCACCAAACAGCTGGAAGTGGAGCTGTGGCTTAAGTGATAAAAGCACTAGTCTTCAGCACAAAAGCTGTGATAGCACCCAGGCTCTGAGTTCAAGCCCTAGGAGCACATGCGCACACACACACCACACATGCACACACAAACAGGAGAGTACAACAGACTATTGGGGTAGGGGATACTGCAGGAGGAGGGAGGGTGAATGAGGAAGTTGAATATGGTCAAGTACTTTATACACATGTATGAAAATAGAACAATGAAATATACTGAAATTGCTTTAAGAAAAGGGACAGTCAGGGTGATAGAGTGTGTTGTGTGTTTTTGTGGAAATGTTACAATCAAACCCCCCTTGTACAACTAATCTGATAATAAATCCTGTGTGTGTGTGTGTGTGTGTGTGTGTGTGTGTGTGTGTGTGTGTGTGTGTACATGCATGCGCACACCAGTACTGGGGCTTTGGCGCTGTCCCTTAGCTTTTATACTCAAGGTTGGCACTTGAGTCAAAGCTCCACTTCTGACATTTGGCTAATTAATTGTAGGTCTTGTGGACTTTTCTAATCAGGCTAGCTTTGAACCTTACACCTTAGATCTCAGCCTCCTGAGTAGCTAGGATCACAGGCATGAGCCATGGGAGTCCAGCATTTATTTTACACACACACACACACACACACAACTGATCCACCTTTGAATGTGTTTTAAGCTTTGTTAGTTTCCATAAAAGATTTCTCCCAAGAACAGCAATGATTATATTATATGAACTATTGCCTGCAAGTCACATGGAAAGCCAGCAGACCTTGGCCTGCTCACTGGGGCACTTAGTTCCAACAGCTGGTTCAATGATGGGACTCAGTGTTTCCTAGTTCTAGACATTCATTTCTCATTCCTCCTTCCCTCATTCTTTCTGGATCAAACAAGAGTATTTTGCTCTACTCAAATTAAGTGCTAACCAACATGACCCTTGTTTTTTCTCCCTAAAGAATGGGATCTAGTGTCTAGGGCAGCAAAGGACAAGGGAATTTTTTCCTTTTTTTTTTCTTTTTTTTTGGCCAGTAGTGGGGCTTAAACTGTAGGCCTGGGCACTGTCCCTCAGCTCTTCAGCTCAAGGCTAGCACTCTACCACTTGAGCTACAAAACCACTTCCGATTTTCTAGTGGTTTATTGGAGTTCATGGCTTTAAACCATGATCCTCAGTTCTCAGCCTCCTGAATAACTAGGATTACAGGCATGAACCACTGTCACCCAGCATAACAAGGGAATTCTTTTTTTATATATCTATATATGTTTTTATTGTAAAAATACTGTACAGAGGGGTGACAGTTACATGAGTAACGTAATGAGTACATTTCCTATGGAGTATTGTTACTTCCTCTGTTTTCCCCTACCATCCCTTCCCTCCCCAACTCTCCCCCTCCCTTCTCCCCCCTAAGTTGTAAAGTTTGTTTTCAATATAGTGTCTTGTACATCTCATTGTTAAATGGGTCAACCTGTACCCTTATTTCAGCATTTAGGACAAGGGAATTCTAAACACTGTTTTCAAAGAGTATCGACCATAGATGTGGCTTACTTTCTTGCAGTTATAATTAAGAATATAAAAGTTTTTTTAAGCCAGGTGCCGGTGGCTCATGTCTGTAATCCTAACTACTCAGGAGGCTGAGATCTGAGGATCAAGGTTCAAAGCTGGCCCAGACAGGAAAAGCCATGAACCTCTTATCTCTAACAAACCACCAGAAAAGCTGAAGTGGCGCTGTGGCTCAAGTGGTAGAGCGCTAGCCTTGAGCTAAAGAGCTGAGGGACAGCTCTCAGGCCGAGTACAAGCCCCATGACCAAAAAAAAAAAAAAAAAAGAATATAAAGGCTTTTAAAATGGATTAAAAATATGTCCTTCCCATTGACGCAAATAGACATAAGGACTCAAGCAGGGCTTCACTTAAAACTTTCTTAAGTGTTACTTTTTATTTAGCTATCTATTTATTTAGTGCCAGTCCTGGGGTTTGAACTCAGGGCCTCTAAAGCCTCTACATTTAGAGCCCATACATTTACTTCTGGCTTTTTCTGAGTAGTTTATTGGAGATAATGTACTTTTCTGCCCAGCCTGGCTTTGAACTGCAATCCTCAGACCTCAGCCTCCTGAGTAGTTAGGGTTACAGGCGTGAACCAACAGTGCCCAGAAAATTTCACTTTTATAGTCTTACTTAAAAAGTCAATGCTGTCTTCAGGCTTTGCACTATCTAGCACAAGTGATATGATCTTTCTTTAAAGACTGCATTTTCGTTCCCAGGACAAAAAGTACACGTTGCCTTGTGTGTCTCCAACGGCAAGGTGCAGGGTAGAGTCGGGCCCCAGCCAAGGTTCTAGGCAGTTCACTGCCCCCTCACATCGGAACAGACCCATCTAAAAGAGAAACAGAAAAAGAACTACAAGTCCCCAAGGCCTACAAGCCTAGGGTGCTTTTCCTTACTAACTTGATTTTCTCTCACATTCGTGCCTTTTATTTAGAAACAAGTAAACCAATGCAAAGGGGATTGAAGAAAACATTTTTTTAAATTTCTTCTAATTGTTTTAAGAAAAGAGAAGTTTGGTCTTCTGCCTTTCTATATCCGATATAAGCTTCCTTTTTTCTTTTCTTCCTTCCTTTTTACTTCTTCCTTCCTTTTTACTTCTTTCTTTCTTTCTTTTTCTCCCTTCCTTTCTCTCTCTTCCTATCTTTTTCTATGTGTGTATGTGTGTACACACCAAGTAATGGGGCTCAAACCAGGGCCTGAGTGCTGTCCTTTAGCTTTTTCACTCAAAGCTGATGCATTACCACTTAAGCTACACCTCCACTTCCAGATTTTTAGTGGTTAATTGGAGATAAGAGTCTCACAAACACTCCTGCCTAAGCTGGCTTCAAACCTTGATCCTCAGATCTCAGCTTCCAGAGTAGCCAAGATTATAGGCATGAGCTACCAGTATCTGGCTTTGCTTGCCTTCTTGTAACACCCTTGCTTTCTTGTATCACCCTTTTGCATCCATGTGTACATACAAACACACACACGTGTATACTTACCAGTTGCATACTAGGTCTCTCCCACAGCTTAACATCTCTGTCCTTTGAAGCTGTCACCAGCAACTCAGGCAGCACATGGAGGGCAGTGACAGCACCCGAGTGGATCTCAGAGAGAAAGAGAATAATATGGTGAGTTCTCAGGGGATCTCTTACTTAAGGAAGCATCAAAGACTGCTGTTTCAGACTTTGAGCTTCCTCCCTGCCTTGGTGACCCTTTTCTCAAACTCACCTTTCTATACTGATATGTTTTTAAATGTGGCATTTCTGGCCAGACATCCATAGTAATGTCCAACTCTGAGCACACTGATGAATCTGATCCTGGAGTCTGTGTTTTAGGTGTTCTCCTCTGCCAGATGTTCCCTGTGGTCCATTCTCCTTCCCGGGAGCACACAGCCAGGTGCCAGAGCATCCCATCAGATCCAGCACACAAAAATGAAGACTCTGCAATTTTAAGGGCAGCATCAGAACCAGATTTCAGGCCCTCAAGGACCTACTAGGCTCCTCCAGGCCATTTCTGAACTCCTTGGGTCTTTCCATTCCATTCTCACCAGATTCAGGTTTGGCTTGAGTTATTTGGGTTGAGGACTTAGTAAAATTCTCTAAAGTCAGCTTGAAGTCCAGGCTCTCTTCAAACTCCCCTGATTCCTTTTGCTTCTGTAAAATAATAGGTAACTCTGTTCAGTCTGTTCATATCACACAATGTACCAACAATCTCTGGAAATTAGCTTCTCAGGAGGCTGAGATCTGAGGAGTGTGGTTCAAAGCCAGCTGAGACAGAAAAGTCCACAACACAACATTTAACCACCAAATTATACTGAAGTGAAGCTGTGGCCAAGCGGTAGGTACAAGCCTAAGTGAAAAAACCAAGGAAGAGCAAGAAGCCCTGAGTTCAAGTCTCAGTTCCAGCACAAAGAAAAACAAGCAATAGGGTCTGCTCTGGGATGGCTAGGACTTTTAAAAAACTAAAATACAGGTATAATAAAGTACATTAAATGGACATCTGGAGGAACTTTTACATGTGTCTATCATGCAGTTATCCCAGAACAAGATGTAGGACCATTTCTATCACCCTAAAAGCTGTTTTCATGCTCCTTCCTAGGCAAGAACAGACTACCCCTATATTCTGGTTCTGTTGCCACAATTTTTGCCTTATCTTAAGTTTAAGAAAATTATACTTTGGGTTAGGAGAGTGACTGAAGTGGTAGAACATCTGTGAAGCTAGTGTAGGGCTCTGAATTGAAACTCCAGTACTGAAAGAAGAGGAGGAGGATTAAGAGGAAAAGAGGGAATAGAAAAAGAAAAAAAAGGGGGCTGGGAAGGTGGCTCAGTGGTAGAGTGCTTGCCTCGCATGCATGAGGCCCTGAGTTCAATTCCTCAGCACCACATAAGCAGAAAAAGCTGGAAGTGGCGCTGTGGCTCAAGTGGTAGAGCGCTAGCCTTGAGCTGAAGAGCTGAGGGACAGCGCCCAGGCCCAGAGTTCAGGCCCCACGACCAACAAAAAAAAAGAAAAAGAAAAAAAGTAATGAGGGAGGAAGAAGAGAGGAAGAAAGAAAAAGAGGAAATAAGGGAAGGGAAGGGAAGAGAATGGGGAAGGCAAGTGGAAGGAAGAAAGGACGGAGGGAGATAGGGAGAGAAGAGAAAGGAAGGAAGGAAACAAAGGAAAGGTGAGAGAGGGGGAGGGAGAGAGGGAAGAAATAATCCTTTATTTTTATTTATTTGTTTATTTATTTATTTATTTATTTTGGGTCCGGTCGTGGGGTCTGAACTCTGGGCCTGGGCGCTGTCCCTCAGCTCTTCAGCTCAAGGCTAGCGCTCTACCACTTGAGCCACAGCGCCACTTCCAGTCTTTTTCTTTTTGCTTATGTGGTGCTGAGGAATTGAACCCAGGGCCTCAGGCATGCAAGGCAAGCACTCTACCACTGAGCCACCTTCCCAGCCCCATTTTTATTTATTTATTTTGCCAGTCCTGGGGCTTGAACGCAGGGCCTAGGCACTGAGCTTCTTTTTCCTGGGGCTTGAACTCAAGGCCTAGGCCTGAACTTCTTTTGTTCAAGGCTAGCACTCTATCACTTGAGCCACAGCGCCACTTCTGGCGTTTTCTGTTTCTATGGTACTGAGGAATCAAACCCAGCTTCAAGCATGCTAGACAAGCACTCTACCACTAAGCACATTCCTAGCCCTCATCCTCATTTAAGTGAGATATACATACACTTTAGACACCACTATGTTTGGCTTCTTTTGTCCAGAAGAATGCCTATAACATATGTCTGTATTGCTCCATGTCACTTTTTTTTCTGCCATGTAGCATTTCATGGTATAAGGGTATTGCAAATTATATACTACTTATAGACATTTAAGTTGTTTGGGCTATAATTAATAAAGCAGTATAGACATGCATGACTAATTCTTTGAGAACATGAGCACTAATATCTTAAGTACATATTTAGGAATAATATCACTGTGTCATAACTAGACTTTGTGTAACTTCAGTAGTAGCAGATCATAAACCAGCTAAAGGTTAACAAGCTCTCCATGAACAAAGGGACTCCAGAACCAATACCTGAATATCTTGCTTCAGTACACCGAAATCCCCAAGTAAACACCTGTGTGATCTAACTGCTAAGCATGAGGACAGACAAGATTCGGTCTTTGTCCTCAGTATATCACATTGGTGAGGAAAGAAAGACTAACAAAAAAATATGGAACCATGAAAACTCCCAAGATTTTATTTCCATGGTTTAAAAAAAATAAGACCACACTTTTCTTTCCATGTATTTTGTGTATGCTGGTACTGGAGCTTGAACTCAGAGACAGGGTGCATTCCTTAGTTTTTTCCACTCAAGGATGGCACTCTACCACTTCAGTCATCCTTCCACTTCTGGATTTTTGCTGGTTAACTGGAGATAAGAGTCACATGGACTTTCCTGTCTGGGCTGGCTTCAAACCTTGATCCTGACTTTCAGTCTCCTGAGCAGCTAGAATTACAAACACGAGGCACTGGTAACTTTTTTGTAGCAATGCTAACTTACATTGGAAACCCACCATCCAATGTTGTAGAATTTGTTCATGCTGAGGATATGGCATTTTGAGCCAGCTGCTTTCCCTGTCCTTTACAACCAGGCTGGGTCTGACATTTAACAACACTGGTCCTGGACCAATGTTTGTTTAAACACAAAACCAAACAGGACTTACCAATAAATAAAGAGATCCATGGTCCCCTGGCTGGGTACAGCAAAATACACCATACTCCTTGTCGGTAGACCATATCAAAGGATGTTCCACATACCGGTCCCTGGTTTATAAGAAAGTAAGAGGCTGAGCCAAAGACCACCTCTCTTTAAGACTCTAGTGTTTTATTTTAAGCGAGGCTCAAATTCAGGGCAACCACTAAGCCACTTTTCTCCTTCCTCTTGCTCAGGAGGAAAAAAAGCACTGTGGATCTTACCAGATCACAGATGGAGCATCATCAGTCTTCATTTGTAGTAATTTCAAGTCTGCTTTGACCAAGATGAGGGACTGACCATCAGGAGCCAAGGCCAGACCCATCAGGATCCCCAAGTCCTCCTGTAGAACTTGGTTCAGGTGAAGCCTATAGCTCAAAAAATGTACATGGACAGAAAAACAGGTCTATGTTAGTTAACCTGCCTTGGACTCTTCATTTCCTTGTGTGTTCCTCATGACTATAGAGCAAAATGTATTATGTGCCTCCTCTTTTGTTTGTGTTTTTTTTTCAGTACTAGGGATAAAAGCCTAGGCCTTCTGCATGTAAACAAGTGTTCTGCCACTAAGCTACCTTCCAGCTCCCACATTTTTCTTCTATCAGCACTCTTTATCATCATCATAATCATCATCATCATCATCATCACCGACATCCCCTAACTTGTTCAAACTAGCAATCTCCAACATTCTTTTTTTTTTTTTCTTTTCCTGTACAGGGGCTTGAATTCAGGGTCTAATGCTCTCACTTGACTTTTTCATTCAAGACTGTAACTTTATCACTATAGCTACCCCTTCACTTCCAACTTTTTGGTGGTTAACTAGAAATAAGAATTCCATGGACTTTTCTGCCCCAATTGTTTTCAAAATCCTCAGATCATAGCTCCAGAGTAGCTAGGGTTATGAGTGTAAGCTACTAGTGAAAACATTTTATTTTTTTCCTTACACTAGTGTTTCCATCTCATAAATAAGCCTCTTGATTCCACCTTAAATACATCCCTAAATCTCTTATCCTCACTGCCCAAGGAAGGCCTGTAGTAAAGTATACCTAAGCTTCAGCTACAGCAATATCTCTACAACATTTCCTTGCCTTTGATATCTTCCTACAACTATGTATCCTCTACTCTTCTGGTATCATTCTCTTTCTAAAGTTTAGACCCTGAAGTCTAAGAGTTTCTTAGTGGGTAGAGTGTGTATTTAGCATATATGAGGTTCTGGATTTGATCCCAGCACCAGAAATAAAAATAAATGACAAAATGCAATTTAGATCAATTGTATTTAAAGCTGTTAGCACTGTACACTCTAGTTTAACAGCACTGGTCTCAGTTTAAATTTCCAGACTAATTCTTCCCTTGGTCCCCTAGCTCTGATTCACTCCAAGAACCCAATGTCAACAGCTTAGTCTGTATCCAGAATACCCCATACACCATTCCATTTCCAAAAATGTCACTTCCTTACCTTACCTGTCCATATATGTCCTTTGCATATTTTTTCCATCTAATCTGAAATATCACTTCTTTCCTATGATTTTTTAAATTCTACAGCTCCATAAACTACTTTAATTAATTAAAGCTTTCTTAATTAAAGAATAAAATTCAGCTGTGTTTTGGTGGCTGGGAAGCTGAGGCAGGAAGAATTCAAGTTTAAGGTCAACCTGGGCAACACAGCAAGATTCAATATCAAAGAAATTAGAAGCAAAAATTCATTTGTAGCCGGGCATCTGTGGCTTATGCCTATAATCCTAGTTACAGGAGGCTGAGATCTGAGGATTGAGGTTCAGAGATAGTCCGGGCAGGAAAGTCTGTGAGAAAATTATATCCAATAAATCACCAGGAAATCAGAAGTGGTACTGTGGCTCAAGTGGCAGTACACTCACAATGAGTTGAAGAGCTCAGGGACAGCGCTCAGACCCAGAGGTTAAGCTTCCTGACCAACCAAAAAACAAAAATTCATTTGTATCTGGTTCATACTGCCTGACCCAGAGCTTTGAATCAAGCAGGCATTTGAGAATTAATCATTTAAATTTATATGCAGGAGCAGAAAGCAAATGCCTGTCAATAATTAACATCCTATTGACCTAATTATGAAAAAATGGAGTGATTTGTATAAAATCTAGTTCCAGACTAACAGATGATTTTCTTAGAGGGAGAGAGAGTGATGTTAAAGTGAAAATGCAAGCCAGGTACCGGTGGCTCATGCTTGCAACCCTAGCTACTAAGGAGGCTGAGATCGGAGGATTCCAGTTCGAAGCTAGCCCAGGCGGGAAAGTCCATGAGATCCTTATCTTCAATTAACCAACAGAAAACCAGAAGTGGCACTGTTACTCAAAGTGTTAGCCTTGAATGAAAAAGCTTAGGCACAGTGTTCAGGACCTGAGTTCAAGCCCCATGACCAACCAAAAAAAGAAATTCTAGGTATAAAGAGACTACCATTCCTATCACATTCATCCAGCTACTTGCTTGCTTCACCTGATATTTCTGGAGGTTGAACTTTTCAGCCACTCCACTTTCCACTCACTGATCTTTTCATCAGCACTCAGAACATAGAAGGTATGTGCCGAGTACCAGATCAGTGCACTGACTCGGCCTGGAGCCTGGTGAAATAACAAATTCAGTCCATTACTTATGAGGCACCAGGATTAACCTTTTCCCTCCCAGACACATACGCAACCTTGATTCCATTAAACTTAGGGCAGGATTCACATACACAGGGGCTGGGAAGGTGGCTCGGTGGTAGAGCGCTTGCCTTGCATGCCTGAGGCCCTGGGTTCGATTCCTCAGCACCACATAAGCAAAATGAAAAAAGCCGGAAGTGGCACTATGGCTCAAGTGGTAGAGCGCTAGCCTTGAGGTGAAGAGCTGAGGGACAGCGCCCAGGCCCAGAGTTCAGGCCCCACGACCGGACCCCCTCAAAAAAAAAAAAAAGTTGAGGATTCACATACACAAGAACTCAAATTTTCATACTTTACCTGTGCTGTGGCTACAACCTTGGCATTTTGCCACAGAGTTAGTTCTCCAGCTTGATTTCCAGACAGTGCCACAGAACCATCTGGTGCCCAGGCCACAGCAGTGATGGCTGCAGAACTCCTAGGGATATATGTGTCATCTACAAAAGATAGGAAGTGATTCAGTAGGAGTTGTGTTACTGGCTGGCATACAAGAGAAAAAATGAGATCACCTTTGACCTTTATCTCAATAGCACAACTTTTTTTCACGTCTAACTCTCTGTCTCCATTTCTCACTCACCTGCTTCTTTGGGTATCTGCCAGAGCCGTACAGAACCATCCTCTGAGGTGGTCAGCAGGAGACCTGAAGTCTCTGAAGCAGCAGCTGCACTGATTGGGCCACTGTGTCCCATGAGGGTATGTGTTTGGCACACCTAGGTAAAAGGAATACTGATGGGCCACTGGGGCCTGACACAATAGAAGGTTGTCCACCTTACTTTTCTACCTCCTACACTCCAATTCTTACAGGGAACTCACCAAGAGTGGATGCCACAAACGTGTAGACCCATCCAGCCCAACGGTTACCACAAGGAGCTCCGATCCAGAATGCCCAGCTAAGACAAGGAGAGAAAAAGAACATCATCAGGGAGGGGAAGAGATATCAGGGATAGGAAAAGATGTTATTTCCTTACCTGGGCAGGGCTCCAGGACAGCATCACAGTGATTGATAGGTTCTGAGTGAGCAATGATGCTGGTCAGCTCCACACCCTGCTGATCCCACACTTTTAAGGTGCCATCCCGGTCCACAGATACTATGTGCCCTTCCTGCCCCCAGAGCACAGGATCAACACAAGGTCATACTAAGCAGGACATGGAAATAAGACTCTCCCTTTCCCCAAGAGGACTCCAAAAAGGTAAGAGTTGACTTGGGAGTATAGAGGATGTTGTAGACACTAAAAATAGGGAGCGATTTTACAGTTGTTATGTAGCCCTGAGAAGGCTTGATATAAGCCTGGTCTAGGCAAGGGGGATACAAAGGAAAGATACAGATTTAAGTGAAACCTAAGCTTATTCATGAGTTGGAGATACAGGAAAAGATAAAAATGAAAGATTTCTACTTTGAGGAAATAAGAGACTGTGAAGATAACTCAAAAATAGTGCTCCAAAACAGAGTCAACTGGCTCAAGACTACAATCCTACCATCAAGTCATGACACTAAGAGGCTGTGATCTCAAGTCCCCCCTCCCTTCTTCTTCATGCCTTCCCTCCTCCAGCTACCCTCAACCTCAATGCCAGTATCTACTCCCAAGTATGTTTTTCTTTTTACTCCTTTTGCCTTTGAGATTAGATGCTCAATGCATCTATTCTTCCAAAACCCCTCTAATTATCTGACAGACCACCCCAGTGAAGCCTACTGCCATCTTACCACAGCCACCACAGTGCTCACAGCACTCTGATGACTCAGGAACTGACCAATTTGCTGTCCTGACTCTGGGTCCCAGAGCCCCACAGAGCCATCACTGGAGCAAGAGACCTGTTAGAAGTTAGAGGAACAGAAGTTAGAGAAACAGAAGTTAGAAGAACAGTATTATCAGCATTCCCCTAGCATTTATGTTTGTTCATCATATACAGTGAAAGGTAGTAGGCCTTGTGATTGAGGGCATTGGCCCTTATGAGTTCAAATCTTAGCTTCACCATTTGTTGCTCTGTGATCTGGAGCAAATTTATCTCTCTGAGCTTGGGTTTTTTAACAATACAAAAATAGTCACAATCTAATTGGATGCTGTGGTATTGGGTATATCTGTATAAAGGATTGGACAATCTGCCTGCACAGGGAACATTAACAGCTCAGGAGAGCTCTGGCTGACTAGAAAGTACTCCCTGTTCCTTCTAGGAGACCAAAAAGATCTCTTCAACTGATATTTCTTCCCTTCTCATCTTTTTTTTTTGAGAAAAATAGGAGGACTCTATATTGTGAAACTACACTCCATCGACCCTGGAAGTATAATTCAAAATTCTGTACCTGAGGACCAAAGAAATAACAGTATGACATTTAACAGTTAGGGCCAGAAATACTAACCCTGAAGAGTCAGTACTGTGGTGTTTTTCTTTTTCATGCATAGATGCAGTATATTTTTATATTATTATTGCTCATCATTCTCTCCTTTCCCTTTATCCCTTCATGCCCCTATATTGGTTTTGTTGTTGTTTTGTGCCAGTACTGGGACTTGAACTCAGAGCATTCCTTGGCACTTTTGTTTGTGAATGGTGCTCTACCACTTGTACACTTCCAGTTTGGCTTTTTGCAGATTTGTCTGCCCAAGCTGGCTTTAAATCTTGATCTTAAGCTCTCAGCCTCTTGAGTGACTAGAATTACGGGCATGAGCCACCAGCACGTGGCTTGGTAATAGGTTAAGAACCTGGGCTTCCTTAGAATGTTTATTGGCTCAGCATTAACACTAATAGACCTTGGAAATGTTTCTTATTTTAAGTTCAATTTTATTGTCTGTGAAATACAGGTAAGAGTAGTATCTACTTTCAAGAGTTATTGTTTGGTTAAAATGTGGCCATATATTCACAGGCCTTAGTTCAAACATGGCAGAAAATACTCAGTAAATGTTAGCTATTACTATTACTGCTAGTATTTTGGATACTTTGAGACAATGTCTTACTATGTAGCTCAAGCTGGCCTCAAATTCATGATCCTTTTGCTTCAGACTTTTGAGTAATGAGATTACAAGTATCTACCACTGCTTCTGGATAGTTATGATTACTATAAATGAATGCTTTAGAATAAAGTGTGCTGTCCTCTTCCAGGAATCCTCTAGGGCTCTGCACCACACCATCACTTTACTCACCAGCAGGTGGTCTTTGGTCCAGGCACAGCCAGTGACCCAGTCACGGTGACAGGCAGAGAAGGAGTGAATCAGAACAGGGGTTTGGGGTGTCCTCACATCCCAACAGAGGAGATTCTGGAGAGAACCCAAGGACACAGAGCAGTCAGGACCAATAGAAGGGGAAATGATAACAGCCATTCAGGACAAGATGTTTTAATAATAGAGGGAATACAAGAAAAGGCAAGTGGACAGATCTGCAGGAAACTTGACAGAGAAACATTAAAAGAATGGGCCATTGAAAGAATGTAGGAAGCAAGAGGCTCTGGGTAGAATTCTTCCACAGCTCACCCGATCTCTGCCCCCTGTGACCAGGCTGGATCCATCAGGGCTGAAGCTACAGCAGTTCACAGGACCTTCATGTCCCCAGAGCTCAGTGCCACAGGGAAAGTCATCTACCTTGAGTGGCTGCATCAACAACTGCTTTGGCCACAGCCGCACTGCAAAATCCTCTGCATTGGAAACAAAGAAAGTAGCTAGGTGCCAGGGACTCACACCTATAATCCTAACTACTCAGGAGGCTGTGATCTGAGAATCGCAATTGGAAGCCAGCCTGGACAGAAATGTCCTTATGAGACTCTTATCTCCAATAAACTACTCAAAAAAGCCAGAAGTGGCACTGTATTTCAAGTGGCAGAGCGCTAGCCTTGGGCAAAAAAGCTAAGGGATGGGCTGGGAAGGTGGCTCAGTGGTAGAGCGCTTGCCTTGCATGCATGAGGCCCTGGGTTCGATTCCTCAGCACCACATAAGCAGAAAAAAAAAAGCCGGAAGTGGCGCTGTGGCTCAAGTGGTAGAGTGCTAGCCTTGAACTGAAGAGCTGAGGGACAGCGCCCAGGCCCAGAGTTCAGACCCCACGACCAGACCCCCCCCCCAAAAAAAGCTAAGGGATAGTGCCCAGGCCCTGAGTTGAAGCCCCAGTATTGTCACAAAAAAAAAGAAGAAGAAGAAAGAGGAGGAGGAGGAAGAGGAGGAAGAAGTAAGAAGGAGGAGAAGGAAGGAGAAAAATAAAGGAGGAGGAAGAGAAGGAGGAGAAGGAGAAAAAGGAGAAGGAGAAAGAGGAGAAAGAGAAAGGAAAAGCGAACACCTGTCTATTTACCCAACAAAATCTACCACAAGAAAGTGGTAGAGTGCTTGCCTTGCATGCATGAGGCCCTGAGTTTGATTCCTCAGCACCACATAAGCAGAAAAAGCTGGAAGTGGCCAGCGCCCAGGCCCAGAGTTCAGGCCCTATGACCAGAAAAAAAAAAAAAAAATCTGCCATTAAGCAAAAACTCATAGGATTAGTGGGACTTTCTTTCTTTACAGGTCCTAGAATGAGGTCTGGGGAACAAGAATAATTATAGAATATAAATATATTCAAAAGCTTTTGAAAAACTCCCCTCTGTATAGTATTTTCACACTAAAAAACTTATTTAAAAACTTGCATGTATGTATGTGTATATTTTCCTACACCTATGTAGTCTATACATATATATATAAGGAGGTATTAGCATACTTAAAAGAATGAGTGAGTAACCATGCCCACTGCTCAGAAGTACCTGAGGCTGAAGCCAAAAGCTCCTGGGAGGTGGCCAGAGCCAGCACCGGCTTCTGGTATGTGGACAGGAGCCAAAGGGACTGGAGGGAGCTGTCCTTGAGAACCCATCCCTGCAGAGACCCATCTTCTGCACCACTCACCAACACCTTGGGGCTGAGCCAGGCCAGTGCAGTCACTGCCATAGCCAGTGGTTGACACTGAGCCCCCTGGGAACCTGGAATATGGAAGGGAATAGAGAGTAAGACATTTGGGAAAGGGGTGACTAAAGATTCCCTCTTTCCAAAGGTGCAAAAACCCATCCACTCCCCATTTGTTACCTGAAGAGATTCTGAAGATCTTAATGCCATCTGCTCGGAATCCAACAGCCACATCATCACCAGATGGGCTGATAGCCACAGAAAGGGCAGGAGAGAGGGGAAGGGAGCCCAGTTGCCCACGGGGCTGACCCAGAGATCCTGACCACACATGAACCTGTGGCCAAGAAAAGAGTTTAAAGATACCCTACCTTCTAGCACCTGATCCTCCCTTCCACCCCAACCCCCAGCTTCAGTCACCCAACTAAAGTTTTCCTACCAAAGACTTCCCATGAAAGCTGCATATGCAGCTTTGTAGCTCTTGCATCTAAGCTCCTCTAGTCTCTTTAACAAAGGTTTTCACTTCCTCTCAAATATTCCCAGGTTTTCTATTCTCTCCTCAAAACACACTCCAAGTCCAGTTGCCTGTAACTCACACCTGTAATCCTAGCTCCTCAGGAGGCTAAGAACTAAGAGTTGCAGTTTGAAGCCAGCCAGGCAAGAAAGTCTATCAGATTCTTTTTTTATTTTTTTATTATTTTATTTTATTTTATTTTTTTTGCCAGTCATGGTGCCTGAACTCTGGGCCTGGGCGCTGTCCCTCAGCTCTTCAGCTCAAGGCTAGTGCTCTACCACTTGAGCCACAGCACTACTTCCAGCTTTTTCTGCTTATGTGGTGCTGAGGAATCGAAGCCAGCGCCTCATGCATGCAAGGCAAGTGCTCTACCACTGAGCCACCTTCCCAGCCCCTCTATCAGATTCTTATCTCCACTTAACCAGTAAAAAGCCAGAAGTAGAGGTGTGGCTCAAGTGGCAGAGTATCAGCCTTGAGCAAAACAAACAAACAAACAAACAAAAAAACCTAAGGGAAAGTGCTCAGGCCCTGAGTTCAGCTTCAGTGCTAAGCATATATCCCCCTCCCTCCACCACAGCACAACACTCCCTCTGAAACCTTACCTTGCCATCTTCTCCAGCTGTCAGCAACTGGCATCCAGCATTTAGGAAAAGTACAGCAGAAACAAAGCCATAGTGGGCAGGGAAGGTAGCCAGTTGTGCCCCTTCTTGCCAAGCCCATAGCTCCACTGTCCCATCCAGCCGGCCTATAATCACATCCTTCCCAGAAGCACTGAAGACTAAAGTACGGACAGAGGCTCCTGGGGCCCCCAGTTCCTATGCAGGGAAACAGAAATGGAGTGTAGATGCCTGTCACTTCTCACCATCCACACCTGTCCTCTCCAAAAGCTATAAAGGACTTCCTTACCTTGATGACTTCAAGTCCATCTACCTGGAAGAAGCTGATGCTGCCAGCCCAGCTACCTGTGGCTATGAGCTGGCCCTCTGGGTGAAAAGCAATACAGTTCAGGGACTTAGGACATGTGTGCTGGAATGCCAACTGCCCACAGACTGTGTCCCACAGCTGGAGGAAAGAAAGGAGAGAAATCAAGGTCCTGAATACGACTCTAAAGTATCTCAGACCCAGATTCAGGGGTCACACTGCTTAATCTCCTGTTATGTTAGTTATTTTGGTGTGTATGCCTGCTGGCACTGGTACTCAGGGTCTGGGCTCTGACCTTTAGCTTTTTGACTCAAGTCTACCACTTGAATCACAGCTCCACTTCTGGCTTTTTGCTGGCTACTTGGAGATATGTGTCTCACAAACTTTAATGCCCAGGCTGGCTCCCAACTGTGACCCCCAGATCTTAGCCTCTTGAGTAGCTAGTATTACAAGGATGAGCCATCATCACCTAGTAATTACTTTGATCATTATTGTGTCCAAATATCTAACATAAACAACTTAAGTGAAGCTCAGTACTAGTGATACACATCTGTCCCAATTCAATCAAGTTTATGCTCAAAATTAACTACCATACCTGCTTCAGCAGGTAAGTCTTCCCTAATCCAGGCAGTCAGCAGGTCTGCCATGTTGAAACAATGAAATCACCAGGCTGATACACAGCTCAGGGGCACTTGATCATTACCTTTACACAGCCTTCCAGGCACACAGTAGCCAGCAGTCGGCAGTCTGGGCTCAAGCAACAGCCAGTGATTTGATATTGATGGGCCTTGGTCTGGAGCACCCTATCCCAGAAAGATAAAGTCAGAGCCCAATGACCATCTGACCACAGCTCCCTCCTCACTACTTTCCCTAGGAGTTTTTTAAAGGAAAGGCTTTCACTCAAGACCCCTTACCGACAACCATGCTGCAGGTCCCAAAGCTCCAGGAGCCCATCAAAGGCAGTTAGGAAAAGGGCATTGTCCGAAAGAAATGTACAAGAGGAGATTCCATCACAGCCAGTCACCACAGATTTCTCCTCCTGCAAAGATAGTGGGGAAGTGTGGCTTAGACACCCTGTCTACCTTCCAGGCCCAACCATAAAGGAGACTATGGTAAAGAAGGGCTTAAAGTCCTCAGCTTTCCACATTCCTGACCCCAAAAGGGTCAAGTGAGTGTGAATGAAGATTCATGATCCAAATAGGGCCACCTCTTTTTTCTCTACTCCAAACCTCACATTTAATTTCCAAGTAACAGATTTTCATGGGTTTAAGGAATGTGGTGGCATGCATGCATGCATATGATGGTGGGGGACAGTGTGGGCAGGAGGAGGGGAGAATATAACTATGGACCTCCCCTTCTCAGGCTAACCTATTATTAGTTTCTCAGCAGTTTAGTAATTTATAGAAACATCCTCCTGTCTTCTTGCTGAGGCTCCATATTCAACCCAGAAGGCCTGTGTTCATCGTATATCCTTTCCTATCTATATAACTCACATAGGTTGTTTTTGTTGTTGTTGTTGATTTCTGGTACTGGGACTAGAACTCAAGGCCTCACATTCTTCCTTGGCTTTTTTGCTCAAAGCTGGCACTCTACAACTTGAGCCACAATTCCACTTGTAGCTTTTTGCTAGTTAACTGGAGATAAGTTTGTCACAGATTTGTCTGCCTGGGTTGGCTGCTAACAATGATCCTCAGATCTTACCCTTCTAAGTAGCTAGGATTACAAAGTGTGAGCTACCAGTGCTTAACATTTCACAGAGCTTTTAATTAAGCAAACATCTTGTTTTGGTTCCTTTCAAACTTTATATGCTTTATCACCCAACAAGGTCGATCACTAGTGGGCAAAGACCAAGTACCTGTTCCTTACAATGCTTAGTGTAATACCTTGAATAGAAGCTGTATAGTAAATGTTTGATTTCTTTTTTGACCAAGCTCTTTAATCTGATGCGGAGGTGTGGGGGACAGGAGGAGTTGGGAAGTTAAGTTACTGTGTTTGGCTTGCCTAGTGCCTTGGGACACTCAGTCATGATTTAAGGTCTCCTATCCTGCCTTTAGCCTTTAGGGTTGTACCTGCCAGGTTCTCAAGTCCAACAAGTAAACTGTCCCATTGGCAGTGCCCACAGCTGCTCTTTGTCCATTGGAAGAGAAGGCCACGGCAGTGGGGGATGAAGAAATTGCCAGAGTCAGGCTAAGGCTAAAGAAAAAGTCAAAAGAAAAGACAAATCTAGCACATGGGAAGAAAGCAACAGGAAATCTCCAGCAGTCATGTACCCGAATCCCTCTGTCCATGATGACTATGGTCTGTCCTCTTTCCTAGCTTCAGAAAGGATAGTAGGTATTCTCTGGCAGGCTTACAAGGGCCTGTAGTCAAAGGTCTTACCTTTGCTGACCCCCCATAGTTTGGTGCTTATTAAGCCATTGGAGTGTATACTGGCAGGGCCACCGCTGAGACAGCAGGGGAGCCTGGCAACAAAGAGGTGACTCAATAGGCTGGTTGGCTGCCTGCTGGCACAGAAGCAGTGGATACTGGCTGAGAAGTGGAGCCTGTTGCCTCAGGAAAGTGCAGAACACAGCAACATCAGTGAGCTTTTGGTCCTCTTCAGGAACTGAAGAAGCTAAAGCAAGGGCGGCACAGAATATAACTAAGGAACCCATCTGGAACCCACTAAACTTAGCACCAAGTAATATAGTGTGTCGAAAATAGTGCATATAGTCAACCCATCTGGAACCCACTAAACGTAGCACCAAGTAATATAGTGTGTCAAAAATAGTGCATATAGTCAATGCTACATGTTCACACCTTGTAATCCTAGCTATTTAAGAGGCTGAGATCTGAGGATCACAGTTTAAAGCCTAATCAGGCAGGAAAATCTATAAGGTTCTTAGCTCCAGTTAACCTACAATGAACCAGAAGTTGGAGGTATGGCTCCAGTGGTAGAGTACTAGCCTTGAGCAAAAAAAGTTAAGAGACAGCCTCAGTTCAAGTCCCAATAATGACACAAAACTAAACACTAAAAACTAAAACTAAAATAGTACATGAACCACATCAGAAATTCCTGTTCAAAGGATAAAGATTTGAGTTCCACTGCAGAGGGAAAGAGGTAGAACATAGGGATCTCAGGATAAGCAACTTGAGAATGTTTCCTAGATAAGTTTATGCTCACTAAAGAAAAACTAAAGCTGGGTGTTGGTGGCTCACATCTGTAGTCCTAGCTACTCAGGAGGCTGAGATCTGAAGATCATAATTCAAACCAGTTCAGACAGACAAATCTGAGAGGCTTCTTTTTTTTTTTTTTTGGTCCGGTTGTGGGGCTTGAACTCTGGGCCTGGGCACTGTCCTTCAGCTCTTAGCTCAAGACAAGCACTCTACCACTGAGCCACCTTCCCAGCTCCAAAGGCTTCTATTAAAAGTTCAGGAATGCAACCATGCAGTGGTGGCTCAAGCCTGTAATCCTAGCTACTTAGAAGGCTGAGATCT